TGGTAGAAGGTGGGTTGGTATGGTAATAATTAATGGTATTACTTATTAATCATATGATGAGATATTTATTAAAATGGTGGATGGGTATTAATAGCATAGAAGAATAAACTTTGATGGATAGAATAATTATAGAGAATAATATATAAGCATATTAATTATTGGAGATTATTAATTATTAATTGTAATGAATTAAATGAGGTGAATAATTGGTGTGGATAATTTTGGTATTAAGTAATGAATATGGATTTATTTATTAATTAGGTGAGTGTATACATATATATTAATTAGGAGTAAATAATTTAGGAGTGTGATTGATTAATGTGTTAGTGGTGGATTAATTATATTAAACGATTAACCTATCCTATATATGTGGTTACATTAATAATTAAATGGGAGTATTGATTAATTAATATGTCGTATAAATAAATAAATTCATAATAAGCTATAGGATGGGGTGTGATTAAATATTGTATGTGTGTGTGTGTGTGTGTGTGTTAATGGGGTGGGGTGAATTATATTAAAAGATTAATTAATTATATTCAATGGTAATTTATTTTCTTAAATAAATATTTATGTGGGGTATATGAAGAATGTATTTATTCTTATATATGGGATGAATTTCAAGGAATGGTTTGAGAATGTTGGGTTTGGTACCCATGACTTGACGGATATGGTAAATGAAACATCATTATGCATCATATGCATTTATGGGTATATTGAAAAGTCGGATGGTTGAGGACCGATAAGATTTAGTAATCGAAACTAGTTTAAATGGGTATTAGCGATGAAGCCGTGTACATGCTCCATTACTTAGTTACATTGTTAGGTGATGGAAAATTCTGCTAAACCGTGTGCTACAACGATGAAAAATTCGTTATTAGCAATAGGTGATAAGGCAACCACCAAAAGATAAAAAATGAAGCGGACTTGCTAATACCTAGTGGTACTCGAACTAAAATGAGTAGAATTTAGGGTAACAAGAAATCATTGCATAGCATGTGCATCATCCTACTTACCGAGCTTTGGCTCATATTGTTGTTGTTATTTCATAGTGTAACGAGTAAGGACAAAGATGGTTCTATCGAAGAGGCTATCGGTTTTCACTAAAAGGGCTCATGTGCTACCCGAGAGTATGGGAATCATTTGAAGGGTTGTAGACAAGTAATGTTGTGTCTATTTGTTGGTAATCGACATCGTGAATATTGTGTAATTCCCGTGACTTTATTTATTAATACCACGTAAATTTTATTACACGTATTCTATTTTTTAATATTTTATTATTTATGGTTGAGTATTATAGGGATTAGTCGGGATTTTAATCTTAATAATGTAATGAACCTAGTCTCTTCTATTTAGGAAATAGTAAGTGAGTTAGGGGCGTTACATTATACCATATAGATGTCTTCCTCAAGGTTATCATGTAAGAAAGTAGTTTTTACATCTAATTACTCTAGGTGGAGATTTTTTACGGTAAAAATACTAAGTATCAACCTAATAGTAGTCATTTTGACTATAGGAAAGAAAACCGAGGTGTAGTTCATTCTCTCTTTCTATTAAAAGCCCTTTGCCACTACCCTTGCCTTGTATCTTTTACTACCGACATGTTTTTCATTGACCCCGTACACCTACTTGTTATGTATAGCATTTTTTTTGACAATACGAGTTAAAGTCTATGTTTAATTCTTTTTAAGAGACTAGATCTCTTTTTCCGTGGCTAAATCCTACTTGACAAAATCTTTTATCCGTATTACTTCACTAAAGAATTCTAGTTTTTCAGTATTAGTAAAAAGTAAATAGTTTAAGAAAGATGAATATTTTTTAGTGGGTCTCGACACTTTGTCAAATTTTCTTAACGAGAGGAGTAGGAGTTACCTGGTTTTAGTTCGACTTCGGCGTCCCTATCTTTATCATCGAAATCTCAATACTAGATATATCATTCTTCTAGATCTCCTCTAAATTAGCCCTCTCATTTGTTTATGATTGGTTCCCTATACAATTAGAATCGTCCTAAGTTTGCTCTTATACCACATATTCTTATTAAAGATCATATCTCTATTCCTTATGATCTTTCTATTCTAATCATCCCAAAATCAATAACCAAAATCATCGGAACCATAACCAATGAAGTAACACTTTTTAATTTTAGAATCAAGGTTATTTCTATCATTAAATATTATATGTACATATAAAACACAACCAAAAGTTACGAAGTATAAGAAATTTACCTCCTTTCTTGACCATACGTCCTCGGGTAGTTTAAAGCCCAATGGAACCAAAGGTTCTCTATTTATAAGATAAGTTACCGTGTTTATTATATCAGCCTAGAATACTTTGGACAAACCATAATACAATCTCATATTTTTTACTCGCTCATTCAAAGTTATCGCTCATTTTTTCAACAACACCGTTTTACTTTGGTGTCATAGGAACTGTTTTGATCATTATTATCATATTTTCTAAATAATAATCTTTAAACTTTGTGCTAATATACTCCACTATATTATTTGACTTCAAGGTTTTGATCTTTAAACTAGTCTGATTTTCAACTTCAACCTTACGTCTTTTAAATACGACAAACATGTCGATTTATTTTTTAAAAAATAAACTCACACCTTACTATTAGAGTTGCCAAAAGAAGTAATATAGTAGCGTGAGCCTCGAAAAGAAGTCATATAGTTGGTCCTCATACATATGTATTGACTAATTCTAGCTTCTCTTTCTTTAAGGATTTATTAGACTTCAAGAAACAAACTCTCTTCTATTCTTTATAGATATAAGTGTCACATAAGCCAACACCAATATGCTTTAATTCTAGTAATCTTTACTTTGATGCTAAGCTGCTTTAAAACGTTTTTCACTCATATGCCTAAGCCTTCGGTGCCATCGTATCGAATCACCATCACTATCAAAATTGACCTCTACTACTTTATCTCTTGTTATAATAGTTATGTATAAAGTTTCAATCTTATTGGTTCTTGTTACATCAATATTCCCCTTCATTTTTTTTATTATCCGCTCCTAAAAAATATTGTGTATCTAAGACCATCGAGTTTACTCATAGAAATTAGATTCTTTTTAAGACCTAGAATATGCCTAACATTCTATCATTTTCATTGTATTCCATTAGTAGTTTTGATACTAACATCACATTTCTCCATAATATTCAAAGGTTCATCATCTATAAGATAAACTTCCTAAAATTTTCTACTACATATTTCTAGAGAAGATCTTTACATATAGTAGAATAAAAGGATGCATCCGAATCTAAAATCCAAGACTTAATGAGACTGTCTACACTCGTAAATTAATGCATATGTAATTTTATCAATCGTTGCATACGCGAGTCATCATCCCGATTCTTTTTTTCTTTGGAACCTTATATTGATTTTTAAAATGTCTTTTCTTGTCATAATTTCGGTAGATGATTTCTTTGCATTTTTTAGATTTTCCCTTGCTATTTGATTTTGACCTACCATGACTATGATTCGACCTTACTCGAAAGTCCCTTCATTTGCTTATCAATACTCAAAAGAGAACCTAAAGGTTCTCTTGACTCACTCATGCGAAGATCTTCATTGATCATTAAATCTTAGACATCATCTAATTTTAGTTTCTCATTTTTTAATGCACTTCTTCCCTCTCATTCTCGTTCCAAACTAGCCATCGAGTAAAGAAGATAACAAAATTGGTGTCTTAACTTCTTCGATAAATACGATGTTACCGACTCTAATTGACTAAATAACATATTAATTTTATTGATGTGATTAGTCATAAATGCACCCTCTATCATCTTTAGATTGAATAATCAAAAAATCAAAAATATTTTATTTGAGGTAGATGGCTTCTCATACATATTTGATAGCACTATCGTCGGATCTCGCTATGGTCTTTTCTTTCATGATGATGTAAGCAACGTTTTGCATCAATGTCCGTCGAATATCACCCAAAGCCTAGCAATCCAATAGAACCCAATCAGTATCTTTCATCCCCTCTAGCTTATTTCCTAATTTTGGTTTGTATAGCTTCCTCTAATATAGATAATCTTCAATCTACATATCTCGAAACCTAAAATCTTTGCCATCAAACTTATCAATTCCGACTTTTCCTTCTTCTCGCCATCACTCCTCTTTACTTCGTGAACTTGGCTCTAATACCGAGTTGTTAAGAAACGAATCAAGCAAAAAAATAGAATAGAAAGATAAAAAAATACTCAACACAAAGATTTATGTGTTTCGTCAATTATGTCTACTTTACGTACTGTACTAGTATTTATTATTAGTTTTTTTTTTTATCAAGTGGCATCTTACAAATACAAGAGACTCTCTATTTATAGTGTAAATAACTAGAGTTATAAGAAAAAAGACCAAACAAACATATACAACTGGTCCAATTAGGACACCGTATGCATAACGTCCCAAAATGTAGGTCACATTAATATCAATCTCTACAACTATAAATTTCAAATCCATAGTACTCAACAACTTAGGTTTTAAAGTGGAAATAATTATTTGACATTAATCCTACCATAACTCTCTTATATCTCCGAAACAATCCCAATGCCCTACCCCAAATCAAGGAAGGTGGCACTAATATACGCTTGTATAAAACCATTAGTTTATGGTCTGAAAACACAGCCCACCAGCATTTCTTGCCCCTACTTTATAATAAAGGTAAAGCAGAGAATAAAAAAGAATACTAAATGAATGAATGAAGAAGGAAAAAGAAGGAAACATATGCAAAGCTCCTTAACCCCACATCTCTATAAAAATTCTTTGAGGACATAGACTCAAAGTTTCTTCAGCCTCATCTCAGAAAGCAAACAGGGCACTCCAAGCTTTACCAAAGGGTTTTCATGGGTGCATAAACAAGGAAATATGACAAAGTGATCAAGAAAGCGAAATAAGAAAGGAGCAAGGGGATTTTACTTTTATGGTTCTCTTTTGAAGGCATGAATTAAAGAGTGCTTTTTGCAGAGGCCAGGCATCACTGCAAAGCTAATGATGGCAGGAAACCCTAGCTGGTGGAGCATGCATCCAGCTTCACAGCAACCTTCTGCTTTGTTATCTTCTTCATCCATCTTTCCTTCCCAATATGTGCTTGGATCTTCTTCATTTCCTTCGAATTCTTTGCCTGATAACCAAGAGCTTCCACAGTCTTGGAGCCAACTACTTTTGTAACTCTCTCTCTCTCTTTCTCTAGTTCATCTTGTTAATACGTAACATGCTACACTTAATTCATAAGTTCATTTGACTTTTTAATCTCAAATAATATTTCATTTTTTATTTCACACTCTCTTTCTTCTCTCCCTTTTTCTTGTTCGATTTTTGTCCTTTCTTGTCCTAAAAATTCAAAGCCTTTCACATATTACAAAGAGTTTTTTTCATAGATTTTTGATCTAGAAATTTATCTCCTTAGTCCTTATTCTGTGTATGTTTTTTGGAATTTTCCTTAAATACAGCTGGCAGTACTCATGCTTATTACAGATAATCTTAAGTTGGGTTTTAAGCTTTCAGTAATTTTGGTCGCTTGCTTTTCAGGGGTGGTTCGTCAGGAGATGAAGATAGGTGCTGTCTGAGTCAATTTCAGCCTAAAAAGTTAGAAAATTGGGAAGACCAAATCTTAAATCCATCTTCTAGTATTGCTGTAGTTGCTGATGTAAAGCAAGAGGTTTCCCACAACAGCAACATATATGGTCATGGGAATGAAGACTTTCAGGCACCTAGGCCTGTAGCTTGGCCACAAGTGATGCCAGTATCTTCCCCTAGGTCTTGCGTCACAAGTTTAAGTAGTACTAATATATTAGACTTCTCTTACAACAAGGCAAATGGAGCCAATCAGCATCCAGATCAATCATCTGAGGTAAGATATATTGAAAACAAATTTCAGTTTATTGGAGCAATTAATTAAGCTTTATATGAAGTCTCCATGTTTCATAACACGTTGATTACGATGAATAATATTATCATGACATGATCAATTGCTGAATCAAATAAATTCTAGCCAGCCTGCTTGGTGATTTCTTGATCTGAGTTTCTTCTGTTTTGCCCCTTTTCTGCTAGTGTAATAGCACAGCCACAGGTGGAGTGTGCAAGAAGGCTAGGGTTCAGCCCTCTTCAAGCCAGCCTCTTAAGGTGACACGACACACAGCATCTCTTTCTCTTTCTCTCTCTGTATTTGTGTGCGCCTGTCTGTTTGTGTCTGTGGGCGTCTAGTGTCTTTCTTGATTGTCTATTTCTTTGAGCATGTGTGATTCTTCTGCTGTGTTTCATCTATTAAAAATATGATAGTTTTATCAAAAACCTAGCTAGTGCTCTATAATTTACTAATATATATTTTGTTACTACGGAGTCAGGTCAGGAAGGAGAAGGTAGGTGATAGAATCACAGCTCTTCACCAAATGGTTTCCCCTTTTGGAAAGGTAAACCCTTTACTTCTTGATCTACAAACTAAATACGAAGAATTGAACAAACAGTTCTTTTTTTTTTTTTTTTTTGCCCTTTTCTATGTCAAAACCCATAAAGGAAAGTTTTTTTTTTTTTTTTTTTTTGAATTTTGCAGTAATCAAAATTCTCTCTCTTTTGCCGTACTTTATCTTTAGTCATTTGGCTCTCTCTTTTAAACATTAAAAAAGATCAAAAAGATGACTTGGGGTGTGGTGATCTGTTCCTCTTTTGCAGACTGACACAGCTTCTGTCTTGTTAGAAGCCATTGGGTATATCAGATTCCTTCAGGGTCAAATTGAGGTGATGTTTCTTCAACATCTTACTTATACTCTCTGCAAGCAGCTCAGAATCAGTGAGAAGCATGCAGTTAAAGTGTTCAATTATTCTTTCTAATCATTCTTTAGTTGTGGAAGTTATCAAATCTTATTCTCTTTTTTGTCCCCTCGAACCCCCTGATTTTTGCAGGCTCTTAGCTCCCCTTACTTGGGCACTGCCTCACCAAATATGAGAAGCCAACAACAATCTGTAAGTACCTATATATATCTTTCTCAATTCATAATGCAAGACCAAGATCCCCTCTCTCTTTCTCTCTCTCCCAGCATGCATATGTGTGAATGGTTTAACTAATGAGGGGAAAATTTTCTTGTTAGGTTCAAGAAGAAAGAAATTGTGCGTTTTCTGAAGACATTGGTCAGGTATTGCTTTATTGGATCTATCAAAAGCAACTAGGATAGATTTGTTATATGGAAAGCATGTATGCAGAAAACCAGCTGGTATTTTATCATTCATAACAAATAGCAATGAAATAACAAGGTTCCTAGCTTTATACACATTTATGTAGTTAAAAGCATAATTTGGGATTACTTTAGGGTTAATTATTAGTTGGGAATCAAAAAAGGGTTGGGAAAGATGGATAACGTTATTTTTTTTCTTTACTTTATTTTCCGTTTAGCTGTTGAATGACATCTGCCTGAAAAGAAAAAGGAGCGCTTAACAGGCACTTCTTTTTCTTTGTTTAAGATCTTTTACCAATTAATAAACTTAATTTCTCCTCCATTTGACTTATTGTGCTTTAATATAATACATTTTAGTCTATATATATTGCTTTACAATCATCATGATTCTCATCCTCATTATGACTCATAATTATGAGTATTGTACGAAAGTTGGAACGTGATGTTTACATACCTTTGGACATTGAAATTAGATCGTTTGAAGAGTTTGTTTATAAGAAAATAACATCAATTAGTGCCTCTGCATTTTATTTATTTATTTATTAAACTGTTTGTGTATATATGTATTTGATCATATCTGCAGGATAATCAAGATAAGCCAAAGGACTTGAGGAGTAGAGGGCTGTGCTTGGTTCCTGTCTCCTGCACTCAGCATGTTGGAAGTGACAATGGCGCTGATTATTGGGCTCCGGCTATAGGAGGAGGGTTTTGATCGGTGCAATATTCCAAAGGCTGATTCAACCTTTCAAAGCGAATGATATAACATCATGAGCAGTCACTCTGCTGCAACTTTCCAAGGCTGATTGCTCATGATGGTATATATGCATTCTAATTATGAAAGGCCATTAATTGTTTCTGAACCCTCTAGCTAGCTAGTTTCGCACTATCTCTCTGTTGATGTTTTAATTTCTTTGAGCTATGTTATAGAGCTCCGTGAAATTGAAGTTCAATTAGCATTTTTCTTTCATCTGAAAATGCTTTATCTAAGATTGGCATTCTTTCTTCTTATATTATTGAAGAATAGAATGGCTTATGCCTCTATTAAATGTAACTTAATTGCTTTCCTTTTTCGTCTATGTTCTGCTTTCTTATTCCCATTGAGGACTTTGGAAGCTTATAAGGACTCTAGAAGCTTATAAAGAAACGATATGAGGCTTGTTATAATCAGAATAAAAAATAAATATATCAAAGTGACAGAAAAAACTTACAAAAAATATGTAATTTTAGTTGGATGATAGCTAACGGTTATATAGCCAACAAAGCTGATTAAATAGTCAAAGCTGTTTTTCTGAAATTGGAGCCTTCTGTATATGATTTGCATATTGAAATATTAAAAGAATTTGGAAGTGGATCTTTAGATGGTTTTTTGATTTTGAAAAAGATCCGAAATGGTTTTTTGTATTAAGCTTACGGGATCCAATCTGACATTCAGATAAAAAGTTCAGTCCGATCAAAATTATAATTTATGTTTGTCCTTTCAAACGCTCTTCTTGTGCTTCTATTTGTCAACCTGATCCGGTCCTTTTCTGATTCTATTTGTCAACCTGATCCATATACTTAAGAACTAGACGTATCATGTCAATTAAAAACCACCAAAGATATTAATTTACTCTTTGACTATTTATCTTCCTTACATATAAATTAAGCCAAAATAAAAGAATTCACAGCTGGAACAATGTCTCAATCTCAAACTTGGGTCCTATTATGGATCTTTTGGCGCTGTCAAACACGGGTCCTGTTATAGATCTTTCGCGCCATTCTATGTGATCATGAATCATATCTATCTCGAGATTGATAAATCTTAAATCCTTCAATACCTTTTTTTATCAACATCATTTCTTATCTCCCTCATCCCCTTTTGCCCCTTCCATTTTCAACTTGTCACTTCTCTAAGCCAAGACCTTCGATGGTCTACACTTGACAAGGACAAATTACCGTAGATGCTTTTGTCTCATTTTATCTCCAACGTACACTATATAGACCATTTGGAAGTTGTGTTTAATTCTAATCTTATTTCTTACGTGACCCACATTTACCTTAACATATGGACCCAATTCAAGTCTGTGGGTTCTTTCATTCACAGTTTTTTTCCATTAAGAAAATTTTATAAAGCCCTTGGACTCGAATTTAAAGTATTCTATTTTCATGCAATTCACAAGGTTGAACAAACAATCAAAATCTCACGATGAGGGGTGTAGTATTATTTGTAGTAGCACTTCTTGTTAGTACTTAGAATTAGATTAAAAATGCAAGAACAATTATATAATACGAGAGATTTATGTGATTTGACAATTATGTTTATTATATTGTTACGTTAGAATTTTTTATTAAAATTTTATCAAGTGACCGTTATAAATACAAGTGTTGTAGTCTTTATTTATAATGTAAACAATTAGGATTATAATTAAAAAAAAAAAAGCCTAACATGCCTATACACTCGATTCAATATTCTATAAATCTTTCGAGGCCATCGTGTGTGTAGCCTCCTAAACTACAAGCCCCTTTCTTATCATTCTCCACAACTTAACATGTACAACATAAATGGTCTTACTATTGTTTCGTAGTACTTACCTTTCATTTTATTAAGGACTTTAGTGTTAAATTATAGAGATTGATGTAAATGAAAGCTTGTAGTATAAGATACTATGCACATAGCGAGTCTCGCTAACCGGTTAATGAGCGAGGGTCAATGGGCGGTGCCCTTTTGGTAGCTCGAAAGCAAAGCCCTCTAAAAGATCTACGGAATATTGGACTAAGTGTATAGACTCGTTAGACTTTTTTATATATATAATTCTAGTTGTCGATATTATAAATATAGACAACATCGGTTGTATTTATAGTCGTCACTTGATAAGATTTAATAAAAAATCTTAATGCAACCATGGAATAGGCATAATTGTCAAACCACGTATATCTCTATGTTGTGTAATTGTTCTTGTCTTTTTACTCTTTTTTTTTTTTTGCTTGATTTGTTTCCTAATATTTATAGTTATTTGAAACATTCTTAGTAGTCCTCTACTTTAACAACTTTGCTTTAATTTTAGGAGTTGCATCCTCGTTGTTTTCTCTATTCTTTTAAAAGACATATAGAGTCTAAGACACTGAATTGATAAAGAACTCCTTCTCTTTTCATTTGGTATATTTCAAGACCTCAAGATGATGCTTGAGCAACTTAGTTATCCATGCCACTCCAATTTCCTTAAGGCATTTCCAAATAACTTTACAAAGGATACTTGCCTGACCCACTTGTTTTCCTTATTTTTATCTTCTTCAAATCCTCCTTAACTTTAGAAGAATTAATTCTATGGATGTAGTTGAAGTTCTTGTCTTCTTATTTTCATCTTCCTAGGATCACTAAAGTCCTTCGCATAAATAGTATTGAACAACTAGCTAGTTATAATGCTTCATAATCTCTTTTTAACCCTCATTATCACCCATCAAAACCTTTAAATTTAAAAGAATTAAGATAATATAGACCCATTTTTTTCATAAATATATTGAAAAAAAAATTCAAGGTTATTTTAATGGAAATATTGAGCTTTGTCTAAGGAGCATATTGATTCATCGGGAAATGAAAACCTTATTGTGTTAATCAATTTTTTTAATTCTTTCTTTCTTACCGGAAGATTTTCAACATAGGAGGAAAAAAAAGTTCTTTAGATTTTTTTTTTAATTTAGTTATTTAGTAGATCTAAAAGGCTTAATTATCTTAAATCCTAAAATAGATTTTATGCTATTGTAAACCTAGAAGCGAGCATTGATTGCTAATATAATGTGCTATAATATGTATTTATAAGTACAATCGAACAATATAAAATTGTATCTTGAACTACCATTTGACAGGATATAAGTGGGATACAAAAACTAAAAACCACAAACATAAATATACAACATAACTAAGATGCTAATCAAGATGAAAATTAAGGATGAAAAAATTTGAAGCTTGTTATGTGAAAGGGATTATGTAAACCCGGTGTTGTGAAGGAATTTAACGAACTCAAAGAGTACCATGATAGAAATTCTTGCACATAAAGTGAAAAAAAATGTTCAAATATTTAGTGTATGCATGGTACATATAAAGAATCACTACAAGAAAGTCGAGAAAATAGCAACGAATTTTAGTGACAAAATACAATCAATAGTTAAATAGCAAGTAAATAACAATCAAATAGCGTCTATTTAATTTAATGATTGAATACGGACGGTTTGATGACGGTTTACCGATGAATCGATGATATTCCATCATTATTTGTGATGTCAAAATCTTCTCGAATGTTTTAGAGAATGGTTATCCATCGAATTGCTACGAAAATCAACAACAAGTTACTCTTCCGTCGTTATTTTTTATGTTTTGCTTTAGCGATGAAATATCCATCACTAAAGTCCTAAATTCATTGTTGAATCTAAAAACATGGGCGACCTTTGGAAATAAAAATAGCTGTCAATTTGATGATGGAATAGTGACTAATCAGCGAGTTAAAATATTTTCATCGCTAGTTGTAAAAAAGTAGGTAGCCTTCGAAATTAAATAGCCATCGACTTTACAAAGGATTAATGGCGGCATTGCATTCTTCGTTGATCTAAATACCTAATTAAACCTCATTTCCCTTCTTCTTCCAACTTCTCCTCTCCACCCGCCTACTCTTCCCACACTCAAAACCATCGAAAACTACACTCTTCCACTCCCTACCAATCCACACCCACTTCAAATTCTTTTCTTCAAAAAAGGCTTGTATATCTTTCCTTACTTCCTCCCCTTCTTTTCAAATCGAATTAAGTAAGTTCTCTCTCTCTCTTTTGTTCCTTAAAAGTTAGTTATTTTCATAATTATTAGATTAATTTAAAATTTAATTAAATGATTTATAATTTTGTATATTTTTAATTGTTAATTTATTGATTAATTTATTAAATTGTTATTTTTTATTAATTGTTCGGTTAATTTGTTAATTAATTGTTAGTTTGATCTAGATTTAATTAATTAATTAGGTTAATTTTGATTAATTGATTGATTTTTAATTTGATTTATATTATTAATTATGAATTAATTGTTAGTTAAATTTAATAAGGTTTGAATTAGGATTAATTTGATAGGTTAATTAGGTTTGAATTAGAATCAATTACGTTAATTTGATTTGGTTTAATTAATTAATTAGGTTAATTTTGATTAATTGGTTGATTTTTAATTTGATTTATATTATTAATTATGAATTAATTGTTAGTTAAATTTAATAAGGCTTGAATTAGGATTAATTTGATAGGTTAATTAGGTTTGAATTAGAATCAATTAGGTTAATTTGATTTAGTTTAATTAATTAATTAGGTTAATTTTGATTAATTGGTTGATATTTAATTTTATTTATATTGAAATTTTTTAATTAATTGTTAGTTAAATTTAATTAGGTTTGAATTAGGGTTAATTTGATTTAGGTTTAAATTTAATTATGTTTAAATTAGAATTAATTAGGTTAATTAAATTTAGGTTCAATTAATTAATTGGGTTAATTTTGATTAATTGTTGTATATTAAATTTATTTGTATTGAAAATTGTTAATTAATTATTAGTTAAATTTAATTAGGTTTGAATTTGAACTAAATTGATTTTGGTGGTAATATCCATGATATTTTTGTCAAGTACAAAGATAAGATCAAGAAAATGAAGATTACCATCCAAGAACGGGCCAATCAATTCAACACTCTAAAAAGTTAGATGCA